GGATAACTTTTTTTGGATTTTACAATTAACACGAGCAAGTACCTGCTTAATTTTGGTCTCAGTGAAAAAGTTACTGCATGCTTTTGAGCAGCGTTTTGTGATCGCTTGTCCACGTGGTCCTATTAACATGTTTTGATCCAGGTGTTTGTCGCCAATTAGTTTTTAAAGACAAGCCGAAAAGTATGCTGCTGGAAAAAAATGTAATTGATGCACTTGCTTTTACATCTTTATATTAGCAAACTTTTGCTTTTACCCAGTTGTTACTGCGCGACTTTTGATTTATGTGTCATTTTGGATGATGGACGTTATCTTCTTTTTTTGCCCACCAAATGTTTGATATACTTTTGGAAGTTTTGGTGTAATCAGATATGATCGGAGGTAAAGTACTTTTTTGGGTTGTACTTGTTTTTGGAGAGTTATTGAAAAAGCAAACGCTTTCAAATTATTATATTTATTTTTGTAGAAACTGTTAATGATTCTCAGTGACAGCATTGTTGCGATTTCAAGATACGCTTTTACTTCTGCCTATTTAGGAATTTTTGATTTATGCACTTGGTTTCTTACTAGTTGTACTAGTTGTTTTTTCCCTTCCCTTGACTGTCTGCTGCCACTTCACATTTCATGTAATTATCTCCTCCGGTAAGCAGGGCTAAGGTTGGTTATCAGTCTTAAATGGTGTATAATCTTCGTCTTCGTCAAATCTTCACTTTCAGTCACGAAGACGCTCAACGGTTGCAGTATACTTCGCGTCAGAAAAAACCAACTTCGTTTTTCCGTTCCAAAGTTCTGTTGGCTCTTTTTGCTCAGTTTACCTAATAATATTTGCTGCATCTGTTTGAAACATTCTTCTTTGTTACTGCTGCTGAATGTTCTCTAAGTAGGTCTCAGATCTGACTCCGGCATTAACGTCACTAATCTTTTGAAGGATTGTTAAGGAAGTTTTTTATTTTTTTCTTATCGAACCAAGTTTATACTTGACTTCAATCAATAGTGAAGTGCTATTTTTGGCAAGTGAAAGTAAGAAGTTGTAAGGTTTAATGGAAGCTCTTTTGCCGTGTGAAAAGTTGCCGTGTTTTCTGTACAGTTTATGGGTGTTCTATCGACGCGTTGTTATTTCGTTTTTTTTTTTTT